GATTGCTCGACCGCGTGGTCTTACCAGATTTTGCTGGTAGTCAGTCAGTATATACACCGTGAGTGAGGATTGTTGTTGTTGTTGATCGATCTCTCCGGCTTGCCGGCTGTCAAAGTCATCATTTTGGAGGACGGAAAAGGATCGTGACACAGAACAACAGCGAACGGGAAACTACGTTCGAAATATCTCGGTGTAGTGTTGGCAGTGTTGGAGAGTGGTGGTGGGAAAGACGATGGAGAGACCGGGTGTGCAACGAAAGAGGGTTGTTATGGGGCGAAACTGTCGTCTGCTTGTACTTTCGCCGCTGTATTTGCTGACTGTGCTCGGCTTTCTCGTAGCGGCTGATGCTTTCTCTGCTGACAGTAAGTTTCATTTCTTGATCTTTGTCCATTCCAGTAGGAAATAAGTTTAAACGCCAATGTGAAAATGTTGCAATTGAAAGTGTATAAATGTATTGTATTGTTGATTGACAAAACATGTATATGAGTATGTGCCATGCGCCGATGTCGCTTACATAATCAACATCATTCGTATGTATTTCCGATGAAAATTTATATAAATCGGTCCGACGTAGACATAGAGAGAGAAGTGGAGAAGGCGATATAAGAAATATATCTGACATATAATTCGGTGAAATGATCTTTGTGAAAGGGATGCTGGTGTGAAAGCGCGTTGATCTGAAAATGGGGGAAGATCGCGATAGATGGAAGCACGTGAAGATTTTTACCACACTGTTTCTCATTTAGCGTTTAGGATCAATTGTTTATTTTTTTCTTTCTTTTTTTATTTGTTTATTCGTACAAAAAGTTCAGCTTTTAATATTGATTATATTCGAGCAATAGATCATTTTTTTTTTTAGGAGAACGATTTTCTTTAGAAACAACATTAAAAAACGATTCTTCGAGGCAACGTAATGACGTTGTAGTAATATTATCACTTTTTTAATAAATTGAACAATTTTGATTTATCGATTTAATAATTGTAATGCAGTTTCGGAATAACTGCAAATATAATGGTTACAACGTTAAAGTAGATCAGAAGTTTCTATGTTTAAATGTGTCTATAATATTTATGATAATGTCATGTTGTCTATAACGATATCGAAAAGCAAAATGAGGAGTTGCCGATTTCGGCACGTGTTTCATTTTATAATTTAACTATGATTTTAGCTAATACTGTAGTATTTAAAATACAAAAAGAGATATTCAGCTGAATATTCAATATTAATAATTATTATTAATATTATTAATTATTAATATTAATATTAACATTAACGTAGATATATTAGTAATTACAACTCAGGAATTAATCGAACCTTTATTTAAAAAAATTATAATGTTAGTAAATTATATCGTTAGTATATCCATAATTTTTTTTTTTTTTCATCAAAAAATCATTTCGTATTAATGTAGTATTGGGCTTAGTACATTTCTATTTCTCAGCTGTTTTTATATATTTTCGATAGTTCTGTAAAAAGATAATAATTAAGAGTAGCATTGATGATGCAATGAATTTTCTTTCATAAATCAAGTATAAATTAAAATAACAACTATTTACATAAATAAACATAAAACGAGAGATGCAGAATGCATTTGATATGTTTTTGCAACAATCGTGCAAACATATTTTCACTTTATTTTCTTATATTATAGCGTGATTCGATGATTTCTTCTTCTTCTTCTTCAAAAAAGAAAAGAATAATTATTATGAAACAAGTATATAAAAAAGATTGACAATAAAGTTATTATTGACACTGGAAAATGCGTAGAAACGAAAATACAAAGGAAACGAGACAAATTCATACTGTGATAATGAATGAATATTTCTAATATAATAGCTCATAATAAACTTAAACAGAGGAACGAGACTGAATTATATTACCATATTCCAATTGGCTTTGTTTTTTCATTCATTATTTCCTCTTCGAATTTTTAAGCAAAATTTTTAATTTTTAAGCAAAAAAAAAAAAAAAAACGAGTTTTCAATTTGATAGAACACGTTCAAAACGTGTTCTATCATTTTATTGCCAACGTCATTGTCGAATAGAAGTTCTGTTTTAATCGCGAAACAATTATTTTTACGCGCTTACCAGTTGTCACTTCAAGTGGTTACATTCGTTTCGAGTTTCGATAAAAAAAAATATTGTAAATATATATCTGTCTGTTTGATGACGTTTGTTGACGAAAGTTTTATATCGAAATTGCTCTTTATTAAATGCAATGTTAAGCAGTGATTCTTCTCTGTTTAAATTTTCACTGTGAAACCTTCTAACTAGGCTATGAATGTTCATACATTGATCAAAAAAGTTGAAAAAAATGAATAGAAATCCACGGAACGTGCAACTTGTATAATTTGTAGAATTTTCTAGCTTGTCGTTATTAATATTGGGCTGTAAATTGTGAACTGGTAAAAATTTCGATAATGATATATTAAAATTGGCCGGAAATTTGTAGATCTGACGCGTTCAAACTTATCTAGTAAACAAACTGGGAGAAATTGAAAAAGATTTCCAAGGGATTTAGAATGATATCTCGTCCAGAGATTGAAAATTCTATTATATAATTTTGCAATAGTGTGAATGATATTAGTAAGAGTAATGACCGTATTAAGCATTTTATCGCTAGGTGGTTGCGTTTCATATTTTTATTTTAACTAACCCGAGTGCCAATCTTTAATTAAGATCATTGCACATTTAAGTTTGAACGATATTTTAACGCTAATACAGCGACAACGATAACGCTATATGAATTTTCTGTCAGATGCAGCGATTGATTGTACAGTTACACGTAAAATTGGATATGCTCGCGAATTATTGGACAAATTTTAGACAAATATTCCAAAGGATTCAATAGATGATAATCAAGAGTAATTCGTGTGGATTCGTTTCAATTTATTAGTTCTATTTGAAGATTACAGCGGAAATGATAAGGTCACGTTTTCTAATTTGAAAAAATTCAGTATGATTCATCGTCAATCTTGTCAAAATTATTCTCTTTCGATATGACTTTAAGGCTAAACGTACATTTTCCCATTTTCTTGATAATTTTTAGATTATCGTTGCTCCTTGGTTACAATGTAGCCCTATCGTTTGTCTAACAAAATTTTATTAATCTACGAATTAGAAGAATTTCTCTTATCAGATTTCTCCCCTGTAATCTTCATTTATGGAAGAGACGAATGAAAGAAAAAAAAAAAAGAAAAGCGGCGTGCGATACACGAAACTTGTTGACTCGAAATTATAATAAAAGCGATGTCAGTATTGTTCGCGCGTTTCCACAGTACACGAACGTCACGCGTTTCTAATCTTCTTCCTCTCATATTTTTTTTTTTTCTTTTTTCTTTTCCATTCACAAGATTCTCCTTCTTTCTTTTTCCCTTCGACTTGCATGCTCCTCGAAACATTGGTTTTCTCAGCGCAAGCGGCATTTCATTTTTCCCACCTTTATTTTGCTTCAGGCAAGCCTTGCCCTTTAAGGCAATTTCAATGTGCGAATGGTAGATGTATACCAAACCCGTGGGTCTGCGACTCAATGGACGACTGCGGAGACAATTCCGACGAGACCACCAAGAAATGCGAAGGTGAGCGATCACGCGGACATTTATATATATACATATATATATATATATATATCGCGTGTATGAAAAATGGATCGACAATGCGAAAGAAACAAAAAAAAAAAAAAAAAAAAAAGAAAGAAAAAGAAAAAAAAATGATGAACAAAATGTTACTCGTATTTCTTTTATATTTTATTCGATAATAATTGGCATCCGATAATA